GTGGTTAGCCCCGCCCCTGATGGCAGGTGGTTAGCCCCGCCCCTGATGGCAGGTGGTTAGCCCCGCCCCTGATGGCAGGTGGTTAGCCACGCTCCTGATGACGGGGCTCAAGTAGAATGATGTCATTTTAATATTTTGTGTTTTTGCTTTGCAGGAGGGTGTCTGGCAGCAGTCAAGCCAATAGCAGATCGATCCTGTGAACCGCCCTGTACCAAGCCATGGTCTTTGTGCACCGAGGTGAATGCAAACAGTTAAAAGATGTCATTACATTCAGTTTATTGAATTAAAATAAGCTGAAGGTATATTGAATGGTGGGCCTCAAAATGTAGTAATCATCATATGTGAGACATTCAGAAAATAATACAGACCAGAAAGAACGTCTGTCCTGGGATGTCTCAGAAGCTTTTTTCGTACATTAATAATAAAAAAATAATCTATAAATGACACTTTTTTTAGAGTAACCTTGCTTTTTCGTCACATTTTGTCATTTCAGTCCTATTTTCGAATGCATTTTGTGTTTTTTACAGATTTTATATTTTCAGCTTTGTTATTTCTGTCTTATTTAGATTTAGTTTCACAAATGGTGTTCTTTTCAAATGTCACCTTCTCTTTGCTTCATGCCCCGTTTAAACATTTGCTTCCAGCAGACCAATAGCAACGCTTCCTGGCACCTCACTCCAGAGGAAAGCCCCATCCCTAGAACTGGAGGGAATGGCTGCGTCCGAAGGCCCGCTCTAATTCCTATATAGGTCACTATATAGTGGTTACGCCATTTTAAATGAGTGTACGAACGTCTAGTGGATGAAAAAGTAGTGAACTCAATATTTCCCACACTGCATCTTGAGACGTAGTGATCATCTATGGTCACTAAAGGAGAAGATATCTCCCAGAATACTTTGCGAGAGCTCTCCTTGCAAAGCATCATGGGATTTGTTGTGGCAGTGACAAATAACAGAGATGGCACAGTTATGTGACCAAAGGATGGTGAAAAGTAGTGATCATCTTTCCAAACAGTTAACTGAGTTCACTATTAAGTCCACCATAGTTTCCCCGCTCTATAAAGTGATGGAGGGATTTAGGGGTTAGGGCGGACGTTCAGACAGGCTTAGTGACCTGGACAATTCAGTTTGAGAAGTTACATTTGTAAAAGTAAATCTGAAAAACTGAAATTTGACAAAACGAAAATGTAAAATCTGTAAAATCATTGGGAAAAAGTATAATATGAAAAAAAAAATAATTTGATAAACATTTTTCAAAGCTTAATTTCTGGATTGCATTTTTTTTTTTTTTTGTTGCAATTTACAATACGTATTTTTGTTATTTCCATTTAGAATACTTGATCTATGATTGCCCAAATAACAGAACAAATGTCCCTTCATATTAATGCTGAGTGCTGAAACCCAGCAGCTTCAAAGATGAACCTTTAATAGCAAAACAGATGGGGAAGCATGGGGCAAAGAGAAGAAGGGGCGGGGCTTCAGCTCAACAGCGAGAGTAGATTGATGAGGTCACTCAAGAAAAAAGATTTTTATCTCAATTCGTTTCTTTTCCCAGATTACATAAAGAAAAATAATAAACAGTTGTTGAGTGACTGCCAAGTGTTTGGAAGCAGTGCGACGACATGAAGACGTTCGCAAACAGCCGACGTCCTGCTGTGTTAAACAAAGCAGAGAACAATAAACGTACTGAAGGAAAAGGTCGACTCGACTTGTTTCATATTTTCCCCCAAACATTTGGGATAAAACACCATCTTCAGCATAAGGTTTCATCCTCCTCTGTATTCCCTGCTGTCTTTAAATAATCTCAATCCCCTGGATTGAGATTATACCCTTCATCTGCCCAAATTCAAATACACATGTTCAGATTAACAAATAGGATTTTTCTAAAAGCGATTACATACTCTCCCATAATCTAATGTTTTCAAGCCCTGATCAGTATTTATATCTAAAGGACAATCTTTTTGAGATTGTTTTTCAATTCCAGATTCATCATTTTCACCTAAATAGAGCTAATATCCATCCTTTTTCACACCCCTTCCGTCTCCCATAGATGCACATTTATCTGAATGCAGCGTTAGCAACATTAGCAGTTAGCCGTGGCTGGTTAGCCATTGCTTCCTGGTCTCTGACACAGCAGGTAAAAGGCTGAGTTGCTAAAAAGCAACCTGGGTGCAATTGGTTCCACTCTGAGCTAGTGTTCAATTAAATCTCTACATAGTGTATATCTTACCCCAGTTTTTGTAATAACTCTGAAAGTGCAAAAAAGAGAAACATTTGTCTTTTTTTAAGACCAAAATAAATCATAAAACTTCGTCAAACTTTGAAGCATTGGTATTGTTCAATTTATTCATTTGAACCCATTAAGTTATAGTTTAAAATTGACTTTAATTAAAACTTCATCAATCCAAAGAAAACAGTGCAGGAACTCCCCCTAGTGGAATGCCACGGAAAACCACTTTTAATAAATCTTGATCAGCACATGAGCATCCTAGGGTTTTCTGTTGTTTACACTCAGTTTTATGCTTGATAAAGTAACATGTTTCTGTTAAACCTGCACTGCTTTAGGCAGGTGTGTGCGGCTGTGAAGAGGGCTACACCGAGGTGATGACGTCCGACGGTGTGTTGGATCAGTGCACCGTCATCCCGGTCCTGGAGATCCCCACTGCAAGCGACACCAAAGCGGACGTGAAGACGATCCGAGCATTCAGCCCCATCCAGCCTGCAGCCAGCGCCCCGGGCAGAGCGGGCAGAACCTGGTTCCTGCAGCCGTTCGGTCCAGGTAACTCCATCGCTCTCTACCTGCTGGGCAGATTTCAGATCAAAGCCGTCAAGTTTTAAAGACCATTACTATTAATTGGATGAAGGCTGACCCTCCTACGATCTCTCAGTGGATACAGAAAGTAAAAAATGTTTACATGATGGAATATATGGCTGCCCAATTACAGCTAAAAGTACCTGGATTCATGAGAAGATCGACCCAAGTTACTAAATATCTGGCTTAAGACCTTGTTTGGAGTACAGACCTAGATAAGATATGTGCTATACCCTTTACACTATTGCTCTCACTGGAAAAAATGGAAATCTAGAGAAGTATTTTTTTCTTAAAATAAGTGCATTTGTTCTTAAATTGAGGATATAAAAGAGACATCTTGCCAATGGAACAAGACGATTTACACTTAAAATAAGAAAACACAATTGCATTGTTTTATTTCAAGTGCATATTATCTAATTATCTTATTTTAAGAGTAAAAACACTCATTCCATTAGCAAATCATCTCATTTACCTACTCAAATTAAGGCTAAATACACTTAATTTAAGACATTTTTACTCATTTCTAGATTGTCGGACAGATTAGCACTAATACGAATGATTAATTAATTAATTACTTTAATTTTTCTATCTGTCTGTTTTTTCATGTTCCTCTTTGTTATTCTAATTGCCTGTTATTCTGCATTTCAGGCAGTAAAGTAAAAAAACATAAATAAAGTACATCCAGAAAAAACAAAAAGAGAAAATTTTCATTTGGAGCAGAAGGAAGAATAAAGGGCTGCCCAGTGCCGTGCAGCAAGATGGTTCTGGGTTCGATTCTGGGGTATTTCTGCATGGAGTTTGCATGGTCTCCCTGAGCATGCCTGGGTTCTCTCAGGGTACTCCGACCTCCTCCCACAGTCCAAAACCATGACTATTAGGTTAATCGGTTCTCTAAAAGTCCCGTTAGGTGTGAGCGTGTGTGTGAATGGTTTGTCTCTGTGTTGCCCTGCGATGGACTGGTGACCCGTCCAGGGTGGACCCCACCTCTCACCCATTCACTGCTGGAGAGAGGCACCAGCACCCCTCGTGACCCCACTTGGGATAAGCGTGTTTGAAAATGGATGGATGGAAGAAAAATGCATAAATGCATATAGTCATTTTTTCTTAAAATAAGTGCATTTTTTTTATTGAATTATGGATGTAAGTGAGACTAAAACTAAACGGAAGCTTAAGGGGGGGTTTGTGCTTTCTATGTGACAGCTCCGAAAATGTGGAATTACCTTCCAATGAGAAATAAAAAGTCTACCTCTCTGCATGCAATGGAAAAAAACAAAAACTAAATCTGAATAAGTCATTTTTACTAAATTTAAATTAAGTTTCTTAAATTAAATTAACACTTTGCCAAAGGAACAACACAATTTACATTTAAAATAAGAAAAAACAATTGCATTGTCTTATATTAAGTGCATAATATCTAATTACCTTATTTTAAGAGTAAAAATACTCATTCTATTGGCAAATCATCTTATTTACCTGCTCAAATTAAGGGTTAATACACTTAATTTAACACTTTTTTACTCATTTTTAGATCGTTTTTGCAGTGAAGTCCTGTTATAAAGTCAAAAAGTACGCTGATCTATAAATAAGTAAGAATGTCTTAAATTAAGCGTATTTACCCTAAATTTGGAATGACTATTTTTACACTTACAATAAGATAATTAGATAATATCTACTTGCATCAAGACACGCTTTTAATCTTCTTTTAAATATAAATTGTCTTGTTCCATCGGCAAAGTGTCTCACTTACCTCCTCAATTCAAGAAACAATTCACTTATTTTAAGAAAAAAAGACTTTTTTAGATTTAATTGTTTCCAGCGTAAGAATAGATGTTTATAAAATCTTTACTGGTTTTATGAACTGTGTTTTTGCTGGTTAATTAGGTGGTTTTTTTCCTGGTGAAACATTTTCTACCTCCATCACAATGGTTGGAAATACTGAGTGCAGACTGATGAGCTAGAAGGTTTAACTCTGATTTTAATGCAGATATTTGTTTGTTGATGCGTTTTCATTTCTGCACCCAAGGCCTATTGCATCCTTTTAACATCTTCTAGATCTTATTTCTAGAATACCTTACAAAGAGCCACATCTAGCTGTGTTTCCATTGACCGTCAAACTGCTCAAATTGAAATAATATGTAGAGCACTGGAAAAATTTAAATCTTCTTGAAATAAGTGCATTTGTTCTTGGATTGAGGAAGTAAAAGAAACATTTTGCCAATGGAACAAGAAAACTTAGACTTAAAATAATAAAACTTATTATTTCATGTGCATTTTATCTAATTGTCTTATTTAAGATTAAAAATTCTAATTTAATTGGCACATTTTTTCAATTACCATTCTAATTAAGGGTAAATACACTTAATTTAAGTCATTTTTACTCATTTCTAGATCGTTTTTCCAGTGAAGTTTGCCTGATGCAAACACGGCTGCTTCCATCATCCATCTTCTCCCGTTCATCCATCAGGGTCAGGGGGGGCTGGTGCCTGTTTCCAGCAGTCTATAGGTGAAGGGTGGGGTCCACCCTGCAGGGAAAACAGCTTTTCAATAGATATTTGCTAGTTATATTGTTTGAATTGTAAATAAAATGTTAATCTAAGCTATTTTTTCTAAAATAAGTGCATTTTTCTTGAATTAAGCAGTCACTATGCCAATAAAACAAGATTTTTTTTTAACAATTTATATTTAGAATAAGAAAACACAATTGCATTGTCTTATTTTGAAGTGCCAAGTATCTAATTATTTTATTTTAAGAGAAAAAATACTAATTCCATTAGCAAATCATCTTATTTTCCTGCTCAAATTATATGGCCCCCGTTTTTAAACTAAAGCAGTCAAAAAGTAAAGCAACAATTATGGTTATTTAGCGAGTTTTAAAAGAAAAAGAAGGGTGTTATTTTTTTCTCATTCATTTATAAAAATCATACTTTGGTAAATAAATATTTCGCTTAGAGCTAAATATTAAGTTTGCTAATTAAATATTCAGTTTTTTATACATTTTTATAAATAATGAATGACATGGCTTGGAAAAGATAAACCCTCTATTTTTCTCTTAAAACACACCAAATAACCATAAATATTGCTCCTAATTTTTGACTCCTTAACTTTACAAACGGCGCCCCATAAAATTAATAGTAAATACACTTAATTTAAGAACTTTTTTTACTTATTTCTAGATTGTTTTTGCAGTGTATTGTTTGAATTGTATTTAACATTCTAAAAAAATGTAAATATAAGTCATTTTTTCATAAGTCTTTTTCTTGATTTGAACACTTTGCCAATGGAACAAGATCATTTGCATAAAAAAAAAAGAAAAGAACTTTTGCAGTCTCTTATTTCGAGTGTATCATTTCTAATTGTTTTATTTTTAATGGTGCTAATTCCATTGGCGGATCATAATAATATCACCTGCTCAAATTAAGGGTAAATACACTTAATTTAAGAAATTTTTACTCCTTTTCAGAACATTTATAAGATCTGCAGAAGAACGCCATGAAACTGTTCATATTTATCAGCAGGAAGGTTTGCTTTAGAGTTATGACTGAAATGATTCTGTGATGGGAAATTAGCTCAGTACTTTCAGAGATCCCACATCCATCCAAAGGTTGCTTCTCTAAATGTCTCCATCGTTGCTTTTTCTTATTGTTATATTGTTATTAATAAGGAACAGCCGTGTATAATGTGATGGGTGGGACTATGAACAGGATGGGTGCTTTTATTGATTTTAAAACCTGCTAAAAGGCTTCATATATTAAACTGACAGATGTTTCACCTTTATTTTCCCTTTTTTTTTAATACAGTTTTACTCTAATAACATTCTTTAACTCCCCAACATGTTAAATGGTGAAAAATAATTCAAGCACAAACTCCTTTTTATTAGTTTCAGTAAAGGAGTGCAGATCTAACTAACAGTAAGAGCTCTACTGCCCCCTCCAGGTCAAACAGTGAACTGCAGTAGCAGGAAATGACTGTAATCAGTAGTGATTAAATGCTAATAAACATTTGAATTTGTTGCATAAAATCTCTATTTTTCAGCGTATTTAGAACACCCTGCAGGCCTTTAATAACATGAGTGTTTGTCTCTCTGTGCAGATGGGACCCTGAAGACCTGGGTGTACGGAGTGGCAGCCGGCGTGTTCGTTTTACTCGTCTTTATAATCTCGATGACATATCTAGCCTGGTAAGGAACCCAATTCTTTACAGTTAGTGTTCCTGTTTCGTCTTCGTTTCATTACCTGTGTTGCCTTTTATCAACGTTGAGTGATGTGATGGAGGTGAAAGAAAAAGGTCAAAGTTCATGAAAAAGCAAAGAGATGTCTGGGATTTGGTCATGTAAATACGGATCGTTGTCGGTTGTTTATCTGTCCTCTTGAATTTAAATTCTCTATTTCCAAAAGTGGCAACAATTGACAGAAAATTCAGCTTCAGTCAAATCTCAGCTATTGTTATTCAGTCACATCACACTAATGAAAGATTTATTTATTCAGTTTTTACACTCAAACAGGATGACAGTGACAGTTGGGGTTTGAGGCAATAATGAGTGAAAATGCTGCCACCAGCGTTGATTTCACAGTCAATCATTTCCAGTCCCTCATGAAGCAACCAAAGCTCTCCATTTGCAATTTTGCTTTATATTCTAAACTGGGACAATGCAATCCTTTAAAATCAGTGGAAGTTCTACAGCCTGTAGCTCTATATTGGACTAAAGCAATAGTTCCTGCTTCAATAGCCCATTAAAAACAAACACAAGTTACCCAAACAGCAACTGTTCAGTTTTCAGTTTTTTATGTTATTTATGCAACAGTTCAGAAATAAATGTTGTTTAAAGGTGATAGTGAAAAGTTTAACTCCTCTCAGTCAGTAGGTGGCGCTCGCATCCACCAGCTCTAGTTCTATACTGTTTGCCCTCTGACTGCTAATGTCTGCCATTAGCAAATGTTGAACTAAGCTTTCAGCAGTAACCTCCATGGGGCTTCTGAGCCCCTCTGATTCTTCAACACCAACACTCAAAAGCTCAACCGGTGTTCCGCCTCATTTTGAGTTTTTTTTGTTGTTTTTCAGTTTAAATCTGAAGAAACAGCTCAATCTGAATCAACACTAAAGCCACCATGGAAGTGGGTCAGCAGTCAGCCATGATAAATGTATATTAAACACCGCAGACATATTTATATAAGAGTAGACCCTGCATTGACTGTCGCGGCGCAGGAATTACGGGCGCCATCTTGGGGAGGTTGACCTGCTCCTCTAACCTGCTGCTTCAAGCAGAACAGGAGAAAGATGCTTCAGCACTGCAGCATATTTTTGTTTAAATCAACAGACTGTTGACATCAGGACTCGAAGAATAACTTCATGAAGGCCTCAGAGCACAGTAGATATGCACTACATAGAATAGAAAGTCCCTTTATTGTCCCACAGTGGGTAAATTGTGGTGTTACGTCAGCAAAAGATTACAGCAAAACAGGTCACACAAATGTGCATAGAAATTATAGAATAACCCTAATCCTAGTTTAAAAAAAATCTAATCTGATTTTATTTAAGCCCTTAAAAACAACAGCAGCTGAACAAAACGCTGTAAGGACAAAAAAATTGGTAAAACATAAAACAGTATAAATAACAAACAAAAATAGCATTCACATAAAATATTAAATATAAATAAATATATCTAAAAACATAAACAAATAAAATACCGTACTGTAGAGTTTTTACAAATACGAATACAGTGCATCTGCAAAATAGATAATCCATATACAGCTGTGAACATTTTTACAATATAGTTATATAGAGATACACAAACACACATATATTTATATATAGATATACACTCCCCGGCCACTTTATTAGGTACCCCATGCTAGTAACGGGTTGGACCCCCTTTTGCCTTCAGAACTGCCTCAATTCTTGGTGGCATAGATTCAACAAGGTGCTGGAAGCATTCCTCAGGGAGTTTGGTCCATATTGACATGATGGCATCACACAGTTG